TTGCGGGCGGGCGTCGGAGTTGGCGGGCAAGGCTCCGCAGGCTAATACTTGGCGGCGGCAATGTCAATCATGGTATGCTGCATCTCTGCTAGCTGTTTGCGCGTGGCGTCCATCTCGGGCGATGCTGTATCATGCTTCTCCTTTTTCTTCTCCTCCGTTTTCTTTTTCTTCATTTTCGCAGCGGCTTTGGCTATGCGCTTGAAGTTGGCTTTGCTGCTGGAGCTGCTGCCGGCAGTAGAAGCATGACTTGGGGCTGAGCTGCTTGCGATCGAAGTGTCACTCCCGTGGGCTTTGAGCTTGCGGTTGGCTGGCTTCAGGAACTTGAACGGCGTGGACTTCTGGCCCCCCCCCCCCGCCTCCTAGGATGGCAGTATCAGCTTGCATTGCAGAGCGCTTCACTTTTTTCATGGAGGACTTGTTCTCGGCTGCAACTTGCTTGGCTTGTCCACGTCGGAGGAGTGCTGCATTTACAGCGGTCGAGGATTCTACAGCATTCATCGCATAGGCGGGCATGCGGTTATCATAGCTCTTGCCGCCTCCCTTGCCACTGCTTTGCGAAAAGTGCTGTGTAAGAGCCTCCAGGCCCGCCTTTCCACTGGCGTCCCCAAAGCTGAGCCATCGCGCGCACGTAAGATTGAACAGAGGCAGGGCGTCTATGAATGACATGAAATCGTACTGCCTGCGGGTGCACGAGAAACGGCCTCGTGATCGAGGATGGGTTGCGGACGTAGAGCAAGGTTATCTTAGGGTACCCATGGGGCCATCGGGATAGCCAAACACTCAGGGGTGTCAGTCTGAGCAACCATCCAATCATACTTCTCCGCCAGATACTGAACTCGGAACTCACAGAAAAAAAAACATATCCTCTGGGAGCCTTCGGAGCATCGTATCATTGACCCCCAACCATTTCCCAGAGAGGCGCACGATCGGTATACATCTGGACTTATGTCTTCGGGGAACGTTTTGCAGGGCACGACTAAGTAGTGTAGCAGGCCAATCAGATTTGAGAATTTCGCTGGCCAGACATAAGCATGCTGTACGTGCGTAGTGTGCATTACCTTTCGCCGTGTTGTTATACACCAAGACCCTCTCCAAGACCAGCATGCGTAGTGTTGCATCGGATAGTTCATCAGGGGCAGAGCTCCATGCGGGGATCTCAGCGTAGTGGGGGTTAGTTTCCAGGCCTTGGGCATATTCTTCATTGTGCGAAGAAAGGGTGGGTCTCGATTTTCCCGTCAACGTCCAGGATCCGATTCTGCAAACAACCCACGGGTAGCGAACGCCCCTCTTCCGTGACTCCCACGTCGCGCGGCCGAAGCTGCTGCGCGAACTTGAAGCAACAAGTAGAACAGAAAACTCGCGATCACAGCAGCGAGTCATCCACGCGCAGTAGGCCTTGCAGGAGTAGGGGGGGGGGGGGGGGGGGGGGGCAGAAGGTCACGGAGCCGCAAACCAATGGCATGGGCGCGGGCAGGGAGAGCGCAGAGATCGTGAATATACTCGCCGAGATCGCGCAGGGTGGCTGGTTCAGACATCGCACCTCCCATCGGCCAGCCTCTCGCCTTTGAGGGGGTCTCCCGTCCGATGAGAACAAATTGACGTCTTGGGCAGCGCGGCGGATGGCGCGCCGCAGGCCCTGGGAATCGCGTGCGTCATACTCGGGGGGCGCGCGTTGGTTCGTGCAACATAAGTGTCCATGAGCACGCGGTGTGCGATTAATGGCAATGGCATTTTGTCCCGTTCGTTCTCGAACTCGGTTGAGTAGGGCATCGCATCGAACGATGCCTCGTCCAACACTAGGGTCTTTGAAGAACTGGCTTGCGTCGGCCTTCGTCCAGGAGGTCGGGACTTTCGGGGCCCCGCCGGGGCATCGAAGTTGGTGTTCTGGTGCTTCCTCAAGGGCGCAGGCTCTAGCGTGAATGAGGTCAGGTAGGTTGGCCATCTCCCAAATCGTCCGCATTTCATCCCCAGTAAGTTTCTTAACAAGTCGTAATCCTCGGGCAGCTTTTCGAATGTCGGCGCGGTGGTAGGCATTGGGGGCAGCGCGTATTTCTCAGATATGGGCGTGAGGCTTAGTGCAACTGAGCTCCCCAGAACTCTTATCGATGCATTGAGCTTTGGCAGTGGGGTCGGCCTTCGCAATGTCAACTGCGCATCTTCGGGGGTCGCGCTAGCGGTCTGGCATGTATTTGCGTGCCAAGCGATCCATCTTTTGGCGGGCCACCTTTGCGCTCCACTTCAGAAGGTGCTGATCGTGCACAGGGTCATCCACAAAACGCTGGCCAAGCTTCCAGATATAGCGCGGCCAAGGAAGCGCTGCTCTGCGGCGCGCGTCTTTACCGACAGGCGCCCGACAAATTGAGAGGTACAATCGTCGCGTAGAAATAACATCAGAAACCATTGGCAGATTGTATCTATGAGATCGAAGCTTGTGCCGAAGAAAGATCTCCAGGCTATATCCAAGAGATGTCCGAGCCACTTCCGCCAAATATCGTCGTATAGTATCACAGCATCGTGTATAGATCGGCCCAGGTGGGCATGCAAGTGGTAGCCGAAACGCTTTCGTAGGCAAGGGATTACATGACTGCAGAAACTATTCAAGTTTTCGTCGAGCTCGAACTTTGGCTCCACATGGTCGGACTTTGCAGGCGTCCCAGACCTCAAGCGTGTAGGAACCGACATTGCGTTGCCACCATTGTCATCGGATGTCCAGCTTCGTAGCGATCTCCCCAAGGTTTATGGCCAACCATAATGTGTATCCACAGAAATACATGTACTTCTCCACGGTCTTTCGTTCAAATCCGAAATTTGCCTTGCAATAGCGCAGGCGCATCGCGAAATTTGTAGTGGTCGCATGCAGTCGGTGTCGTATCTGCTCATCATGCGTGGTCTGTTTGATGATGTTAAGGCGCAACTCGTCTTGGACAACGGGCATCTGCCGTTGGTGTCGAAAGTTTTTCGGGCGACGTGGTTGCCCAGCTTGAGAGGGTCCGAAACCGGTCTGCGTGGGCGGTCGTAATATACTGATCGCCGAAGACTCATATGCTGCAATCATCTTCGGGTCGCTCCAGGCAATCGGAGAAAGCGTGAAACTCAACTCCAAGTGGCACAATTCTTGAAATGTCGATCGAAAATGTTCTCGAATACGTAGCGTGGGTCCGAATGCAGATCGTCGGTTCCATGTTCGCACTCCTGTGGTTCTTCCAACATACCACAACACTATTAGATGTCGCATCGTACTCGTGCCAATACTGTCTGAACAGAAAGCCAAGGGCAACATGCCCGCGCTCTGAGTCTGGACTGTCTTGTCGTACTGCAGCTTGTAGGAGTGGTTTACTAGCACGTAGTAGAACACGTATCCAGTGTTTTTTTTTATCATGAAGCCGTCGAGCAAATCCAAGACCATGCAATGCTGAAAGGTGCGCATGCAGTGTCCATGCTGTAGCTGCTGGCTTTCCAGCCATACACCAGTGCGCCAATCCACATCGGACTGAATCCCATCGTTGCGTACGTTGTGCTCCAGGATCTCGTTGCACCAAGCAGGATGTGGCATACACTGCAATTGCACGTCCTGCTCGGTGCACGTCATCATACCATGGCAAGTTGAGAGAGTCACATATGTGGTCCAACAACTGTATCTCCGATCGTGCATACAGTGCTCGTCTGAGGTGGGGGGTGGGTACGTCGGGCAGAAGGGCTTGGATACGTAGAATAACGATGTCCATCGCAGGGATAGTACTGGAAGAATCTGCCAGGGCACCATGCAATCGTGAGCGTTCGCACAGTATTTCTTGTACTCGTCAGTGCTCTTGACGGAATTTAGACGCCGAAACCCACAAGAAGGAACATTAGCGTGCTGCTTGGTTGAGCGATGGTTTTCCGTCCGAGCGAATCGGTGTCGAAATTCGGCGGTCGGCTTTTGGAACCGACGATGGCAGGTTACGTCACCCCTGCTCGCCTGGGCAAAACGGCTATTGTGCATCATCTTCGTCGTCAATCGAACAAATTATGAAGATAATGCTGAGCGCGCTTAGACTTCCTATGGACCAAGGGCAACTACAAAGGCCCAGCGTGAAGATCCTTCCGAAGGCAGCTAGGCGCGTGAGAAAAAAAGGGAGAGAGAGAGAGAGAGAGAGAGAGCGAGAGAGAGAGCCTGCAACGAAACTCAAACAAATACTATATAGGGCGCTACACGCTGTGGGATTTAAGTTCAGAGAGAAAGAAAGAGAGAGAGAGAGAGAGAGAGAGAGAGAGAGAGAGAGAGAAAGAAAAAAAAAAGAGAGAAACGCAGGAGGCAAATACTGGTATACTGACAAAACTGCTGGTGGTGGTGCTGCTGCTGCTCCCCCTCCCCCTCCTCCTCTTCCTCCTCCTCCTCCTCCTCCTCCTCCATCCCCCTCCCCCCTCGCTTTTTAAAACACAGGTTGCCCAGAAGTCCCGTGCCTGCCTCCTGGGCCGGCTTCTCATGCCGAGTAGCTCTTGACGGCCCCGGGCCCGTCGAGGATCTCTCGGAAGCTGAAGACGGCGAACCAATCTCCGTATTGTTATATTCTTGGCGACAATAACCCATGTTCAAGGGGACTCCGGCTATGGCGACCAGGGCCCACCCAAACACGAATTTAGACCACACAAATGCGACAAACGCAACCCGCCTCCCTCCCCCCATTCTTCTCTCTTCGCCTTCCTTTTATCTTCCTCCTCCTCCTTCTCCTGTTCCTCCTCCTCCTCCTCTTCCTCTTCTTCTTCCTCCTCCTCCTCCTCCTCCTCCTCCCCTGAAATCCGATGTTGCCCCAAAAACTGCAACAACAACTCACTACCGGAGCCCCTGAAACCATCCTTCTGCGTCATACCTCGAGCTGGATCGATCTGTGAAGGTCCTCGCCCCGAAATTGAGCGAAAACGCCCGTTGTGGAACAAACTTGCAACGCCAGGATCTCAGGGTCCTCCTCCCCCCTTCCCTCCCTCCTCCCTCCTGCCCCCCCCTCCCTGCCCCCCCCGACGACGATGACGGAGGGCCCGCCCGGCGCGGCTCGCCGCTCCCAACTCCTGGGCGCCTCGCGTCGGGGGTCAGGACAAAACAGGGTTGACGCTACGGGAGGCGATGGGGGAGGAGGAGAGGGAGGAGGAGGGGGAAGACGAGGGGGAGGAGGAGGAGGAGGAGGAGGAGGAGGAAGGGGATGGACGGGAAGGGAACGATGGGAGGGAGGGAAGGAAGGGATGCAAGGATGGGAGGGAGGGGGGTGACGATGATGATGATGATGATGATGATGATGATGATGATGATGATGATGATGATGATGATGATGATGATCATGATGATGATCATATTGATGATGATGAGGCATATGATTATGATCGTGATGATCATGCTGCTGCTGTTGTTGATGATGATGCCGATGACGATTTCTGATATTGGCGATGACGATGATCATAATGGTGCTGATGATGGAGATGATGATGGTGATGCTGGTGCTGGTGATGCTAATGATGATGCCGATGATGCTGACGATGATGATGATGACGATGATGATGATGATGATGATATTGATGATGCGGATGATTCGGATAATGATGACGACGATGATAATGAGGAGGGTGATGCTGATGAGGATGCTGCTGATGATGGTACCGATGCTACTGATGATGATGACGATAACGAGGATGCTGACGACCATGATGATGATGACGACGCCGATTCTGATGCTGATGATGACGATGATGCTGATGACAATGCTGATAATGGTGGTGATGATAAGAACGATGAGGATGCTGATGACAATGACGATGCTGATGCTGAAGATAATCTTGATGGTGCTGATGATGATGACGCTGCTGCGGCTGATGATATTGATGCTGATGAAGATGATGATGCTGATGCTGATGATGATGCCGATGACGACAATGCTGAATGTGAGGATGATGAGTTTGATGGCGATGGTGATGATGCTGCTGCGGAATCTGATGATGCCGATCATGATGGTGATGTTGCTCTGATGGTGCAGCAGATGATGCCGTTGATCCTGATGCTGCTGCTGATGATGATGATACTGCTGCTGATGGTGATGCGGATGCTGATGGTGATCATGCTGCTGATGATGATCATGGTGATGATGATGCTGATGCTGATGACGATGAAGCTAATACTGATAGTGATGGTGATCGTTCTGATGATACTAAGGATGGCGATGAGGATGCTGGTGGTGATGCTGATGCGGCTGATGACGACAAGGCTGCTGATGATGCTGATGATGATGGCGATCGATGATGGTGATGATGCGGGTAATGATAATGTTGATGATGATTTCCATGCTGCTGAAGATACTGTTGACGACGATGCTGATGCTGATGCGAATGCTGATGGCGAGGATGATGATGATGCTGATGATGATGCCGTTGATGATGATGATGATGATGATGGTGACGGTGGCGACGGGGATGATGCTGATGATGCGGCTGATGATGATGACGATGCTGCTGCTGCTGCTGGTGCTCCTGATGGTAATAGTGGTGACGGCGAGGAGGAGGAAGAGGAAGAAGGGACGGAGGAGGAATATGGTGATGGTGATGGTGATGATGACGAATCTGATGATGATGACGAGGGGGAGGGGGTGGAGGAGGAGCAGTGTAGACCCAAGATTACCAACGATGTTGCAATACACCCTCCCCCAAGTTCCCTTTTTGTTATAAGTCCTTGCCAATATTCATTTTCACTGATGGAAGTGCACCGTTGGAGTGCATCCGCTTGGAAATCTGGAATCATTCCAGAAAACCATTCCTGGGACTTCAACACTGCGAATCATTGTTATTGTTGCGTCCTGAAGATCCTGAATCGTTCCAGAACGCCATTCCTGGGACTTCTACACTTCGAATCAACGTAATTGATTCGCCCTGACATTTCGATATCGTGCCAAAGCGCCATTTCTGGGATGTCAACCATAAGAATTCCTGAAACTATTGTAAGCTCTTAACACGCATGTGCTCGGCGCCAAGACAATAACCACACTTTGACAAAGTGCCGCCCCCCATCCGCAAACTCGTGCGAACTGTTGAAACGAATGTGGGCGGCGCTGAGGCGTGAACCGCATGCTGAAAACGGCCCGCCCGGCCCGCCCTCCATCCGTGAAGCAGCTGCGAATTTTCAGCTTAAGGATCACGCGCGGGGAGGAAGTCTCAGGCGACGTGCCCCGCCCGCCCTGCCGACGCGTCCCGGGGTGCGACAGGGGGGAGTTAGTTACAAGGAAAAGGGGTGGAGGAGGAGGGGGCGGAGGAGGAGAGGGAGGGGGGGGGGGGAGGAGGGGGGGGGGGATGGGGAGGAGGGGGGTTGGGGGAACCATGGGGGGGGGGGGAGGGGGGGGCGGCAGGAGGTGGATGGGCGGGGGAGAGGGGGGCATGGAGGATGGGGGGTGCGGATGGAGGGGGTGGGTGGGGGGGGGGGGGGGGGGGGAAGGAGGGCCACGCGAGCTAAGTGCTGAGCGACTTAGGGTCGCGCTGAGGGTGGCCGCAGGCCTAGTCGGAGGAACTCGAGGGGGAGGGCGGCGAAGGCGGGTCCCGTCCCAGGGCAGTCCTGGGTGACGAAGCCGCAGCCGTCGTGGCCGAGGTCGGGGGCGTCGCGCGCGGTCGCACACGCGCCGCGCGCGACGCGCGCGCGCCCTCGGCCGACCCCGACGACGACAACGGGCCCCTCGCCTTGACACCAACATCCTCCTCCCCCTCGACAGCTTGCACAGCCTTTTCCTCAAGAAATTCAGTCGCCTCCGCAGCCTCAGCTTTTCTCCTTCGGGTGGGGGTCCAAGGGGCTGCGAGGGGCTCGCGCTGTCTGGGTCCTGCACCGCCATCGCGCTAGAACGGGCCGTCGCAGCCGCGTCGCAGTGCATAGCTTCGCGGACGGCCCGAGACAGGCCCTTGTGGGAAGGATGCAAGCCTCTCATCACTCGGCTCAGCACCTCCTGTCCTTTGGCGATGGCTTAGGCGGGCAGGGCTCCAATATATTCGCATATCTGAAAGTGGCGTGTGAGCCACGCGCCGCGCGCATAATCGCTCTCCGCTTGGGTATCTCGGCCAGGCGGTGTGGGGTGGGGAGTGAGCAGACTGGCCGTTGAGTTCCCCCCCCAGCGCCAACGCCTCCCCCAGACGAGACAGTTGCCTAGCGGCAGAGCTAGGCAGTGGGGGCGGGCCTGGGCACTGGGCAGGAGCCGTCTCGTCCAATCTACAGTCACCCACAAGCTGCATGCAACTGTCGCACCGCCGCTTCTCGCCGCAACGCACGAACTGGTGAGTCGAGTCCTTGAGACGCAAATCACGAGTGGACAATGGGGCCTGACGAGCGACTCCCTTTGTCTCTCCTCGCAAAACATTTTCGGGGCCAGTGCTCTTGACGACGGCCCTCCTCCTAGCGCGGACAAGGGCGGCTGTCACATCCCACTGGTCTGTGATCGGAACAGGATCACAGGCAGCGGCCCAATTCTTGGCAGCGCCTCTGCCCGCCCATGCATCTGCCACAGTATTGCCGCAAACATAAAACGGGTTGGCGATGGCCCCAGGCGTCTCATCCTGATGGGGCGGGGTCCACACCATGGCCAAATCGCGCCAGCGCTCTTGCTCCAAGGCCCTGCGCAGCCTGGCCCAGAGGTCCCAGTTCTTGAGGCGCCAAGACCACGCTCCAGGTGGCCTCCGAGCCCAACCTTGACCCCATCCATTGAGGAGAGGTTCAAGGTGGGTCACAAACGTCAGAGGCCCCGAGCTTTCTTCAACCGCAATGCAAAACGCGAGCAATTCAGCACGTGGGACCGTCTGGCGTCTATCTTCGCGCCGGCCGAAGAGGCCAGAGTGGCCTCGCCGCAGGCCGGCCTCGTCTGGGGTAAGCGCCGCGACCGACCAACCACATCGGCGCCTCCAGTGATCATCAGAAAAGGCCCCTCCGGAGCCGCTCCCGAACAAAGTGAGGCGCCCGCGGGGCCTCTGCAGGCTTCCCACTGAGGCCGACCCTCATTGTTAGGACCTACCGCCTCCACCCCACCCCCGTCCCACGCGGCGAAGGAGGGGGTGCTGGGGGCAAGGCTAGGCGCACCTCTAAGCCAAAGAGCTGGGCCCTGATCCAGACCCGCTAGCGCTCGGGGAACCAGGTGATCGCTAGCTGAGGCAGGGCCCTCATTCGCCGAGCATTTCCAAAGTCTGTGTGCGTGTGTGTATGTGTGTGTGTGGGGGGGGGGGTCCTCAACGGCCCCAGAGTTGCAGCGGTCGCGCAGGCGATTGACAAGATACCCAGCCTGATGGAGGCGCTCTCGAGTCCACTGACCTCCTGAAACAACGCAACTGTTCAGAGCCCATGGCGATATTTTTCCACTCGGCAAGAACCTCCGCTGTTCGATCCTGATCGTGAGCAGGTGCGCCCCCGAGGCGAGAGAGGCGCCGTGCTCGTGCGCCGCCGCCGTCGCCCAGAGCTTGCTCTGGAGGTCTTCGCTGAAATCGTCGAGGGCGGGCTCGTAGTCGAGGTGGACTAATTCAACTCCATCATCTGGGAGTCTCCATTCTTCCAAATATTCATCATGCACGCGTTGCCAGCAGTCAGCCGCTTTGGGATCCCAGCCAGCATCCAACAGTGTCGCAATCGCTGCCCCCGTCGGCCCAGTGACATATGACCAGATCCTCGGGCCCGCGATGGTGAGCATGGCCTTGTGCAAAGACCGAGTCCGTCGAATGCGCTGGTGTAGGTGCGGCTGATCCTGCCAGAATCGAATCCACTGTCGAAGTAGCTGCGCGCGAAACTGGACTCCAAGGTCAGCTCCATCAAAAGGGACACCCAAGAGAGTCGCGAGGCAGCGACCCGCCCCCTGACCAGTGGTCGCAGCTGCCGCCTGTCGACGCCATCGAAGTAGAGCGTGACGAGCGAGCCCTCGAACTTGATGGCCATGCACTCCCCGTGGGAGCGAACCAGTGGCCCACAGACCCTTGGCGATGCGAGCCTGCTGTGCCGTGCTCCTCATGCGCGCGATCTTCTTGGTCCTGGTGGGGGCCGCTCGCGCACGCGCACCGGCCCTCTTCTTGGCCCAGCGCG